TTATATTAATATAAGCAGAACTTCAGACGTAAAGTGGTCCAGTTATCTGTCCAACACATCACATGTTGTTTGGCAAGGAGTAATTGTTATAACCCCATATGAAGAGAAATAACAGCTACCAATAGCTAAGATAAATTATTACAACTTCCTAGGTTTCACAACTGACCCAACTCTGTTCATCTCCTATCTCATATTCCCAGCTATCCTTTGTTACAAGAAAGAGCATAACTTGATTACCTATCCTACTGCACTCAGGGTACCTGTAGATGATTTATAACACACACAAGATATAATGGGACTTTATAGATGGACTACAACAAGTAATAATTGAGCAAACATAAGAGAAACATGGCTGAAGAGTATGAAAAAAAATATTTCCAGGAACACGTCATTGTGTGTTGTTAATCTTCACCCCAACTATGAAACATGTAACCAATTTCATTTATGACCATTTCCTAAGGTGGTAAAGTTGCTTTTCATTTAATTTAAATTTCATTTATACGAACAATACATTTTACAGAAAGCTTCAGCTGCATACATTTGCCATTCCGATTACATAAGAAGATATTTCAGCTATTTTTGTCAAAAGGTGCCAAAAAGTTTAAGAAAGTTGTGGATGCGTGGTCTTTTGTAAAAAGCATGTAAATTATTCCAAAGTTGCATATTTTAAATACCCATAGGTGCTTTCCATAAGGCATCAATACAGTGATCAACCCCCAAACATTGGAGTTTGCTACTCCCATGAAGATTCAAATGCAAACAGTATCCTATTATGCAAGCCATCAGTTTAGCACGCTAAGGTGAACTATTTGACCATCAAGTGGAAGACAAGCCATTTAGAGAATGTGATTGTGATGTGAATTAGGACAGCTATTTTTGATTATATATGTTAAACCAATATCAGCTCATCCACAATTTGTGCTTCAAATATACATGATTTTAAATGGCCAGCCCTACATACACTATAAAATATTTAAAGCCAAGAGATGGACTTTGCATTGCGGAGTGAATCTGGTATTGAATTAGTGACTCTCCTGGCTGTTGATCCTGTACACACAGCCATTATCTCCATCTACTCTGCCTCCTACATATGAAGCTGTCAGGAACTCTCATAAAACCTCTTCAGCTCAGATCATTTTGTAATTTTCTTAATAATCCCTGAAGATGGAGACTTAACAAGTGGATGTTAAGCATTATATCCAAGTTCACCAATTCTGGGATTCATTTTGTTATATCTAAGCTATTAAGGTATTTTGAAACCAACAGGCCACTGTTCTCTTGCCTTTATATAAAGGCTTGAATGTCATTCTCCCAACAGGCTAGTTGCATTTTGGATCCATACATCAGTCACATTTCTTGTTGCCGTTTCATTCAAGAGATAAAGCTGACGCAGCAATTCAGGCAAATTTTTTCTTTGTAGCGGTGAATCTGTCCATATACTAAAATATTTTTTAAAAATTGGTTATTTTGGTGGTAAATACACAACATAAATCAAGTTCTACATATCTCTTGCAAAGAGTACATTTCTAGTTTTAAGATTTTCTGTCTATTGGTTTTCTATTTTATATTATTGTAGAGTACATAATCTATTTTTACTGACTAGTTACAATTTCAGTACTACATCACTATTAGTTCAGATATTCTGTGTTATCTTTCCTCTCCCAGTTGTCTTGCTATTAGACAGGAAATTCATAGCTAATCTGATAAAGCAAACTACTGTTCAGTCAACACTAACAGGGCACATGTATCAATAATATCACTTGCCACTAATGTCTATTGTAATTAGCTTTGAAATTGAAGAATTCTACTTTTAAACCATAGTTACATAGATCTCAACCAAAAACAGAAATCTGTCTGGAATAGAATTTCATGCTTCTTCCTTCCCTCAGTTCTCAATGCCCCCACAAATAAATATAGTATACCACATTTGAGGACTAAGAGATCCCAGAATAGTACAGAGCAGCACAGATAATTATGGCTTGAAGGGGAAGTCCAGGAACCCTCTTCTGGTGCACATACCTGTAGAATAAGAACCTACTACATATGTTCTGTTGAATTTGATCCAAAGAGGTCTAATCAGAGTGCCAACATTAACTGCCAGCAGAGCCTTATATAAAAGCCTATATGTGTAATACCATAGTAGGGGGCAGCACCTATTCAACCTTGACTGACCTTGAAAAAAAGCAAAGCAGGATCAGGTCTCATTAGTATGCAAGCTAGGCTGGAAGGTCAAAGAAACATCTGAAAAAAGGGCAAAAGCAAACCACAGTTGCCAAGAAGCTTGTACTGTATGGGGATATCCATGTGGTCGAAAGGAGTCAAGTTCAGTTTGAGGGAATCTTTTGATATGCACGATGCTTACAAAATGTCACTTCTCTTATGTAGATTTTAAGAACAGTGCTGTGATACTCATAACTAAATATAAAACTATATAACTGCTTTAACAAATGTCTTGAAAGGTGCAGGGATTAGTACAAGCAGCCAGGGAGTAATTTTTAAAATACTCATACAACTGTGATATATTAATCTATTAATAAGGAAAATGTTGTATAAGGTTGTATACCAAAACTTTAAAAAGAATCAGGAGTTCAAGCTTAACATGGCTATAAAAATTGCTATCCAAATATTTTTTCTGATTTCATCCAACAACTGATGTCATTCCACCACCACCCTATCCAAACGTATACTAAGATGTTACTGATTAAATAGTGGAAAAGGGAAATAAATAATGTATGTACATATGTATGTATGTATGTATGTATGTATGATTTTCCAACAAACCTTGTCATATCCATCCAATTCTCTGAGTTTCTTGATCTCAAAAAGATTACCCTCTACAGCAAGTAGAGAGATCTGAGAATCACTAAGAATACTCTGAGGAAGTACACTTAGTTCTAGGCAGTTTTCTTCAAGACGCAGAACTTTGAGGCGTGGACAATGAGAGATCTGTGAGGAGATCTGGGAAATCTGTTATACGCCCAAAGAAGAAAGAAGAAAATTGGTTACAATGATCACAGTATCATGTCTCCCCCACTTAGAAAAATTAAGCAAGAACAAAACGAAACAAAAAGTTATATCTCCAAAAATGGTCCTACATTGATAAATAGGCCATGATATGTGAACTGAGCTTGTTTTGCTATAACTAATCAAGCCACCACAATGATAGGGCTGCTGAAAACTCTTAGTACAATTTCAGCACAGTGCATGGTTACAATTGCAGAGTATTTCCAATTAATAAGGCTACTAATTACCCATTTAAAAAATAACTGTATTATTAATTCTCACAGAGGGGATAGATCTATAAACTTGGATCAATATAGTTTATATTTTGTCCATCATGTTAGAATCAATTTAGAACTTTGGAGTTAATTCTTGACTTTATTAATAAAATCATTTCAACATTTTATTAAAATGTGCCTATAAAAGAGGCTGGTAGTAGACTTTCTCATTGCACAAAATGAGCTTGCACAGCTTGCACAAAATGCAAATTCAAGCCTACTTTTAATAAGATTATTAAATCTTATGAGTGTGTGTGTAATAATGTGATTATTATTAAATGTGTATTTTCCAAATTCTAATATGTATGTGGGACACAGTTTTAAGCTAATGTAATGCTGTTAATAAAGACCCTTCAGTTTGTTCCTCCTTTATAAGGTATATTGAAGCAATGATTCTATTTAATAATAGAATTGCTAATGACTGTGAGAATATTTAATAATCAAAGTACTATTCCTACAGAAGTTAATATTTTAACAAATGCTTCTCTATGTTGAAAATTAATTTAGAAGGAGAGCTTTCCACTAGGATGACTAGAGGTAGTCCTTGCTTAACAACCATTCGTTCAGCAACCTAAGTTATGGTGGCACTGCACGAATGGTACTTATGCCTGGTACTGAAGTTATGGCCGCTGCAGCACCCCTGCAGTCACATGATCAAAATTCAGGCACCCAGCAGCCCACCCACACTTATGACCACGGGGGGCTTCAACTCCTGCCACCCACCTATCTCCTCCCCATCTCTGCCCTTTTGGCCGCCTTGCACAGCAGCACTCCTTGGCAGGGGCACCAACACTGGCGGCACTGGGGCTGAAGTAGAGACCCGGGACTTTCAGCAGTCTCAGCCAGCCGCCCCTATGCCTCTACTTCAGCCCCAGTGCCACCAAGTGCTGCCTCAAGCCCTGCGCTGCAGCCAGCCACTCCAGTGCCACAGCGCAAAGCCCCAGCCACCCTGCACTCTGCAGGCCCTGCTGCACCCAGCTGAGCTTTGCTGTGTTCTTCCCACTGCTGACAAGGCACACCAGGCCTGGCCCTATGCGAGGCAGCTGCTGGCCATACCAGGCCTTCTTCCCGAGGCCACATGCACTGTTTTCCAAATAGCACATGCCATTCTCCAAATCGCATGCACTGTTCTCACAATGCTCTGGAAAACCTTTGGAAAGCTTCTGGAGTGCCACTGTGCAGGGCAGCCAAAAGGGCAGAGATGGGGGAGATAGGCAGGTGGGTGGAGTTAAAGAGGAGGCAGTCCCTTACCTTACCGAGGCTCGTGGCTGGGAGGGACCAAGCCGGGAATGGCTTGGATTGGGATGGGTCCTCACCTAATGACCAGTGGGATTCGATTAACAATGGCAACAGGGACTACCGGGATTGCCATCACTAAGCAATGCAGTCATGAGTCATGCTTTATGGCCACATTGCTTAGCGACGGAAATTCCAGTCCCAATTACTGTTGAGGACTACTTTTAATCCAAAAAAAAAAAACTTGTCAAATTTGGCTTACAGCACTAACTATGGTCACCATCACATAGTATTAATACACCACATAACAATGCTCAACTACAAAAATCCACTTCCAGACCTGGTTCTGATTTAAGTTCAGTTCAATAGCCTGCAGCTCTCCAACTGTGTCTGGAATACTCTGGATTTGGTTTCTGGAGAGATCCACCACATCTATATGATGAAGACTACCTAGCTGAACAGGTATAGTTTGAAGCTTGTTTCCGGAAAGGCTCAGAGTCTTTAGTGCTGCAAGTTGTCCAAAGCTACTAGGTAAACGTGTCAATTGGTTATTGTTCAGATGCAGAATCTCCAGCTTTTTCAGCTTGCAGAGTTCCTCAGGTAATGCAGCTAGTAATAAATTATAAACAGAAATACATCATGCTGCTAAGAAAAAGGAACAATTATTAAAATGTCAAGACTGAATATTTTATTCTGGTATATAATGCCCCACAAAATAAGAATTCTTAATATAACTGAATTTTCTTTTGTAATATATGATATGTAATAGATCAGATATAATTTATTTATTCTACTTGTATATTGCCAAATTGCCTGGATTAATATGCAGGCTCCACTTTTCATTAGAACTCTAGCAGTTTAGAAAATGTGGGAAGAGAAGAAGACAGCAATTAATGAAAATTATGCAAGTTGCGCAAGTCCCTGTTTCATAAGAATCAAAATAATTTCAGTACCTTAGTAACATGTAACTGCAACTGTTACAAAACAAATCTTTGTTAGTACTGAAAGATTATTTAATTTGCAATATATAGTAAGCTAAAAAATACTTAAGTAAACATACTCAGTTTGTTGTGATTTAAAGCAAGACTTTTCAATACAGAGAACTTTCCTATAAAAGGTGGGAGTGATTCAAGCTTATTGTTGGATAAATCTATCGTTCTGAGATTACTTGCCAACTTCTGCAGATCTTCAGGAAACTGAAAAAGCAATTCAGATATTGGTGAAATTATTCCATGAATTAAAAAACTGCAACAAATATACACAAACAGAAAACTTAGTAAAATTTATGTTTTGTAGTCTTATAGACCCAAAACAATGAGGCATTGGAAGAGAATTGAGAAATCTCTCCAAAATCAATTAACCAGAATTAGAAGAACCAAAACCAAACACAACTGACTATTTCATATTATGCATAATCAAAATAAATAAGATATAATATGAACTGTCACAGTTGCTTAATGGATATAAAAGCTCATTAGATCATACTTCTTTTTAAAAATTAAACCCAACACAGAGGAGTTTTAGTAAAACTCTATAAAACTGCAATTTTTAAATACACTCATCAGGAGTAAGCCCCATCAAATGTTCTACCTTTGTTTTCTATAGTATATAATACTATAGATGTTTCTATAGTATAAATATTAATTAGAACATACTCAACTGAAGTTTTTATTAAAGGTATGTAAATGTGTTGCATTCAAACAGAATGCATTCAGAAATATTCTAACATTTTGAACCCCTAAATGCCCCATTTTGAGACAAGCATTTTGTCTCAGGCTTAAGGCAGCTTTTTAGAAACAGGGTGATGTCAAGCTGAAAATACAATATTTTGATCTTAGAATGGACTTATTGGATTTCCAGTAAGATCATAATAGCCCACTTCAAGCTTAAAATGGTTCAAAATTTGAAGTCTGAAATAGTCAAATTAAATCCCATAAAATGTAATAATTAAAAAGATGATATATTGAATTCCAAAGCAAAGCAAGACATAATGTTATCTCTCTTGCATTTTACACTGTAAAGGAAAATGTTTTTGTTTTTGTTGTTGTTTTTTGTGCCATATGTTCACAAACTTGACATTTACCTCAGAAAGGCCTTTTCCTGTTAATTGGAATACTCCTGTTTTTTGGGCTGTCTCCAAATGTGCTTTTAAGGCACTGTTTCCCATCTTCCTGTTCTTGCCTTTGCAACTGGCAAACAAAAGGATTGTGGCAGATGTATAGTGGAGTCCCTCTCATTCATACCACATTAGGGAACATGACCTTACTTTCTATTAAAAGGTAAATTGAGAATATATTAAATAAATATATTTGATTTTTTGTATCAATATTCACATGATTTTTGTATCAATATTCTCACCTCAGTGGTAAATTGGGGACCTGGTTTTCAGAGCACTGTGCCACTGACTCAAACAAATTGTTCAAATCATCAACATCCCATAAAATTAATCTTAACACCACATTCATTAGTAATAAGATAGAAGTATATGGAAATGTTGCTATATAACAGAAAAGATGGAAGTGGTAAATGAAAAACACTGTACTAAACTCATGCTAACTTGGAAACAAGCCCTGCTGAAATGTATTTGGTTTCAATGAGCATGTTTATGCTCTGCATCCAAGAAGGTGAATTCAAAACTGCTGGAAAGTAGATAGGTTATATAATAACCGGAAAGATAGGTCAGTTATTATAGTGTTAGAGTCCACAGCAATTTATTAATCTCCATTCCACAGTTTCAGCATATTTCCAAATATATATGCATAGAATTGAATTAAAAATGCCATCTATAGGGACACTGTGGGCAAGCCTTCTTGGTAATGGCTCCACTTCTCCACTGCCTACAGGAAGTCCTCCTCCACTTTATTGGGCTTCCAAATGGCTGTAAACAGTTGGCTGTTTGGAAACGCATTTAGGGATGCAGAGGTTTAGCCTACCCCATGGATGATATTGCTATGGTATGTTGGTTAAGCCTTTTATGTGTTTGATGCTTTTTACCCTATACAGTATTTTGCTTAGAGGCTATGGGAATTTAGCAGCATAGAAGCCTTGGCAAATAAATAAATCAATGAAGTACAAGACTCTGCAGAGTTATAGCTCTGAGTGAACTGTGGTTTCCTTTGACCACATATGAACAGAATTACACAGCTTTCTCTAGCATGGCAGTCACAAGATTCATTTCATACAAAACCAATATGCTTTGTAAATGTTTTGCTCCTGAAGTCAGAGTTTTTGATTCTAAAGCATTTGCATGGGAGATCTTGGCATATGCTCGTCCATCATCTTCACAAAGTATTCTAAAATAATGGCTGGCAATACAACAGTGCTTCATCAATGTCGTTTTGATCCCCTTTCCTGAACTGATGAATAACATGAAAGTATCCAATCTTACATGAAAAGGAAATTAGGATTCATTGCATTAACACTAATCCAAGAGTAACAAGGTACTGTACGCAATGATTTTAATTTTGCCTTCCTTAATACAGTACTGATTGCTTGGGAGACCAGCAGTACTACAAAGAAATAGAGATTACAGGTTAAGCGCATGTACCCATTCAAATAATGCTGTACAGGCCGTTTTTGTTTTTTGTTAATAATAGCAATACATTTTTTCTCCCCACACTGGCATATTGAGAAAACTTTGTTCATCTCACAATGTTTTTAGATAGTATTACTGAACTTCCCTTTCACTGGTATTTGTACTACTACTGCCTTCCCTTACTCGGAACTGTGAAAACTGTGTAAGGAGAAGGGAGGGAAGCTGAAGTCAGTCTTAACTCAGAGAATTTGGGATAACCTCGGTTTCAACCATCAAGAAGCCGCAACAAACTATATTCTGGCGAACGTTTACCTTCCTCTCACCGATAAGGAAGGGAAGAAATAAGCAGGACAACCCGCGATGTCATCTCTTTCTCCCACCAAAAGAGGCAGGCAGGCAGGCAGGCAGGCTATGGGAGGGGCGGCATCAATCCAATTACACTACGGAAAACTATGCCTCTTTTGAAGAAAGCCACACTCAATCAGGTTAGGGCTGCAATCCCACGCACGCTAATCCGGATGAGAGGCTGGGTCCAGTTAACCAGTTTGCTGAACAGGTTACACTGCATGAACATAAACCAAACACGCTAAGGCTTAGCGCGATATGAGAGCCTAATCTCAAGGGGATTTAACTTTCTAGGGTGGTACGTTACGACTACAAAAAGCTGGATGACCGCTAGACCAACCAACCAACCTTCCTTCCTCCATAAATAAACCACCAGACCTAAAAGTTTCTTCTTCGCTACCATCCAATGACTGTCCTGATTTTTACTGCTGCACTTTCTAACGGAGTTAATCTTCCCTGGTCAGCCTGCCAACTTCAGCCTCTCCTACTTCGACTACAACGCCCTCGGCTGATCCCTAGGTGAAGCAATCAAGGGAGATCCCGAAAAACGCCCTGAAAGGAGGACGAGATTACCTGAGTTCATTTATCAGCAATCCTGGCAGACACAGCTTCGCATCCTAGCAACAAGCACACGCACGACGACGAGAAACGGCGGCCAGGTTTAGTAGTCCGGGAAGGAGCCAAAGACCCGGATGACAACCAAGCTAGCCCCTAATGGCGTGTTCTCCGCCCGAAAATTACTTGAGAATCTCGGGGATGGGAGGATTACCCAGAGTGCCCGAGTCCCTTCCGCCACAATCAAAATGGCTCAAACAGTCGCAACTTGTTTCCGGATGCCCCGTTCAATCTTAGCGGGAAAATCCACCACTCTCTGCGCAGATGAATCAATGTTCCGAAGGGCCCCGCTGGGATGTTTCGTGATGGGGACGGTCCATAGCAGAGCTATAAGGAATCACCTTCGATCTCGTGAGCGGCGGAGACGCGCGTGGAGGAGAGCAGTTTGGCCGCACTCAATATGGCGGCGCGAGCGTCCGAGGTAGCCCCGGGAGGCTCTTCCTAGGCGGGCGAGGCGCGCGCGGGGGTGGCGCCTGGAGCCGCCTGGCCATGGCTTCCTCGAACCCGTGGGATCCCGTGCAGCCCACGGCGGCGGGACTGATGCTGGCGCGGGGTCTCTCCGCGGGAGTGGTGTCTCAGGTGGGGCAGTTGGTTCCCTTCCCCTCTTTCCGTGCAAATAATAGTCGCCTCTGGGGCTGTGTGGATGGCCAAAACGGTGCTAAGTCTTAAGAAGGTAATCTGGGCGCCAGAATGAAAGAAGCCAGTATTATGCCCATATTATTCATTCTCATGATTTCTGGGTTCTGCAGGTCTTTACTCGGGGCTTCAAGCAGGGCCCTCCTTCTTCTCCCCGAGTTACTTTGGAAACGCCGCGTTCCCGCTACTTAGGAAGATGCACTGTTTCTGCTGCACGCTCGGTCATCTTGTTTGGAAATAAGCATGACAGACTTCGGCATAGCTGCCGTAAAGGAATTTAAATGCCACTTTATTGTAATTAGTTCCTGTATGTTTTTGGATCACATGAGCTAAATGTGAAGCAAAAAGAGGTGCACTGATTGGAACAAAATGTGATTTATTATATCCCTTTGTATCTTCCTCTTCCCTAAAGACTCAGTATTTACTCTGTAAATACTTCAGGATAGGTCTGTCTACTGTAAATTATGTGAGAATTTCCATCGAATTCCATAGAGCTCTCTTCCTACTTCTGTGCATGAGAAATTGGACATCTATATATTTGTAAGTAACCCTTGTGTCAGATCTGGTGCCATACTCAAGTACATAGGAATTAATTTCTGTGGGAAGCAAAATATTAACTTTCCTCTTTGTCCAGGGTTACCAGATGTTTGGCAAAAGGAGGACATGTCATTCTTTTTGTCCTCATGTCCTGCATCCAGCAGGCATAGTCTTAAAATCAAATATTATCTGGCTTTTTGAGTGTCTTGTTTTTTATTTTGGGCTATTTTCACAATAGTGTATCGTGGATTGTATTGTAAATTGTTTGCTTCTTTCCCTCATCTGTTGACAGACTCCATGGCCTAGATTTACATTATTTTAGTTCCTGATTCCAGCAATTGGGTTCAATCCAGCCCTTTCAAATCTGTGATCAATGTAGTCTGTAGATCCCATAACTCGTCATACATTTCTATGGTGAAATTTGAACAGTCTGCTGTTGTCAATTTCTGTATTATTGCTAGCATATGTTCTTGAAAATAAAGATTTGTTGGAAAAATATTGCAATTGAAAAACCAGTCTTTCTGTTGCTAGAAAAAATAATTTCATATACATGTAGGTCTAAGTACATTTTGTTGCTATAATTTTTGTCACTGGTGCCAAGAAACAGTTGGCATGTCCTGCCCCCCCCCCCCAAATTTGTCCTTCTTTCTAATTTCTGTGTCCTTTATCTGTTCAGATATCTTGTAAGCCTATCTCTGTCCAATTTTCTGTTCTGTTACCATGCAAACTGTCTGTGTTCACTTGCTCTGCTTGGAGAGAGGGTGCTACGTATGAAGTGCATGCTCAAGGTTTCTTATTCATTCAATAATCCATAATGTACACATGCCTAATACATCATACTTTAAAAGATAAGAGATATATAAAATATATTTTCCATAAATGTTTGAGTTGCATTTTGTCCCTCATTAGTAATCACTTCTGTTTTGATAGGAATCCTTTGATTGCTGTTAGAATAACTTTCTCTTCATAATAGCCACATATTTTGGTCAAACCATCTTTGCATGTTACTAGTTAAGCTTGGTTTTCCTATTCTGAGGTATATCAATAATTTTAGGTTGTAAAGATTTATTACCAAACAGAAAAATGATACAACAATCGTTTTCAGCTATAGCTTTTACTTTTGAGACAGCAATACAAAGAAAAAGAAAAGAATGCAGGTATGCAATCTGTATGTCAGTCTTTCCTAGTCAGTGATAGTTTATTCAGTTGCTAAATTTTTACTTGTTTCAGAATTAATTGGGCTTTATTTCCAAGTAAATGTTCTAAACTTCAATCATAATCTCATGAGTGGTTGAGTTGTTTCGTTTTTTTTTCTTTTCTTCTGCAGAGGACTCTAGATATATGTGGAAAACCATCTGCTTGTTTTGCTCATTTCTCAGAGGCAGAACAAATTGCTGATCTCCAAGCTGAAGTCAGCCGGGTAAATAATATTTTAGTCCTAGAACAAGAGTTATATTGATAAAGATGATGTGAAGTGTGAAAATTTGCTCCATTAGTCACTCTACCTTCTGTTCCAGAAGAGAAACCAGTTTATATTTGCTTTAATGTCATCTCTGATGTTTTCAGAGAAAAAAATAAAGATGGCATATATTACAGGTCTACAGTGATTTTTTTCTATTTTGTATATTTCTTGTAACGGGGGAAAGGGATTGTTTCGGGATCAGACAGACAAAACCACAACAAATCAGAATTGTGTGTGAACCAATTCAAAATTTGTATTAGTAACATTGCAAGATTAAAAAAAACTACTTTTCTCTGAGCATTTGAGGTTTATAGCTAGAAAGGTCTGTAGGTGACATGTAGCTAAAGCAAATAAACAGACCTTCTGGCTTAACTGCCATGAAAAATTGAATGCAGTAAAACCACAAAATCATTTTATGACTCCAGCTTACCTGCTGTTCAGTGACTGAGAGTTTCCCTTCCAGCAAAGCAATTCTGCTTCTGAAATTTGTGTGAAATCTGAAATATTACATACAGTATGTAATATGTAGCTGTGTTAAATTCCCCTTGGAGCTAATCAATAGATTCAGATAAACTTAACTGACAATCTTTTGTGGGTAGTAGAATGTTGATCTTCAGATCCTCTTCTCTTTTGGGAATTCTGTGCTGGATAGACATGATCCATGACTTTGAGGTCCAGCCCTCCATCTTCAGTGATTTTCATCCACGAACCTTCACACTTTCATGGTCTTCAGTCTATCCAGCAGATCTTCAGGTGCTAAAACTGCCTAAGTCCAACTTCGTTTGCCAGCCATCTTCTTCTCCATCTCTCCAAGTCCAGCCACAGCAGCTGCTTCTTTTCTGCCATCTTCTTAGCCCATTTCAACTTCCTCCCCACACTCAGCATGAGAGAGATTGTGTGCATGAAAGCCTTATCTGTTTTACTCCCAGCTATTTCCCAGACTGAGCTTATCAAGTTCAGACACCACATGTCTGTCTGGGAGTTCACATGACAAGATGGCAGACAGTGTTTACCTGCTCCATTCTGTCATACTCCATTTATAGCAATTTTGACATTTAACATCTGGAAAAATATATTTTCTATACTCTGTTCAATTTTAGATTTAGAACTGGGGAAATAGAAACAGAGGTTGAAATAATACTCTCTCTGAAACTAGCTTCTAGAAGAGAGGATAAAGCGAACTCTGAACAAGAGATTCCATTTTCATGGCAAAAATTATGAATTAAACTATATAGTGCAAATATCCAAAAATTAAAATTAAATATATTAAATGTATTTAAACATATTAAATATTTGAATATATTAAATACTTTTGTAAAAATAATTGGACATCAATTTTAGCATGTAGCTTTAAATACTTTAAATAACCGCACAGAAATTTTAAAGTCACTGCTTCAATGTTTACAGATTAATCTGGAGACAGAAGCCCTACAAATGGAAAAAGATACAGCAGACATTATTCATCCATTTTATCTTAGTAAGTGTTGTTGTTTAAGATCACTGTTTAACTTTTCAGGTATGTAGCTGCATAATTGGACTTAATATAAGACTTTGTCTTAATTTTGCATGTTCATGCAATTGAAAATTCTTCTGGAAGTATTTGTTCTGGTCCATCAAGTCAACCCTGACTCCTGGTGACTACCAGGACAATTCTCTGCAGTTTTCTTGACAGTATTTTGGAAGTGGCTTGCCAGTAACTAGGACTAAGAGAGAGCTATTGGCCCAGAGTCACCCAGCTGGTCTCTGTGCCTCAGGCAGGATTACTTACAGTCACTCCTGCCTTAGGGATCTTTAGATTGAACTATTGCAACATACTCTACATGGGGATGCCCGTGAACAGCATTTGGAAGTTTCAGCTGGTGCTGAATGTGGCGGCATAGTCAGTTAGCAACACTGTTTTTCAGCACGTGACACCACAGCTCTGCGAGCTGCATTGGCTACCAGTATGCTTCCAGGTATAATTCAAGGTGTGGGCACTCATTGTTAAAGCCCTTTATTAAAGCCCAGGTTACTTATGGGATTGTCTCTCCCTGGTTATTTCTACCCACCCTATCCAGTCAGGCAGGAGGGGCATGCTCCGAGTCCCATCTGCCAAGGAGTATCAGCTGGTGGGGTCCAGGAGGAGACCCTTTTCTGTCGTGGCACCCACCCTCTGCAATATCCTCCCTCCGAAATTAGACTGTCCCTGTCAGCCTTTTATAAGACTTGGCTCTGTGCTCAAACCTGGGGCCCTGGGTATGCGATGGAGCCTGGTTATGTTAAGTGCTGATTGTTGTTTCATAATTTCCTGGCTGCTATGGTTTTTATGTTTTTGTATAAGTTTTTATCATTTTTATTTATTTATTTATTTATTTATTTTATTAAATTTCTCACCCGCCCATCTCCCCCCAATTTTTCATATTGTTAGTCATCCAGAGTCATATATTTGAGATGGCAGCCATATAAAACCATTAATAAATAAGTAAACTCACAGTCTCCTGGCTTCTAATTGTTCCTTAGCCATTAGACCAAACTGGTTTCCCAGAGTGCTTGAATAAATAATAAAAGCAGAATAATCTACTTGAGTGGGGAGAGAGAGATTATTCCCTTTAGAAGCCTTGTGGATGCTATAAGCCTCTTTGGGAATATTCTTTTGAAGAACAGCATACATTAAAATAATAATACAGGATGTGGGATTAGAATACACCTTTTATACCACCAGGATCAATTGGCAAGGATGTCACTAATTGTTTGCAAGGACATGTTCATTATATGAGAAAAAGTCCTTGTATAAAGTTGAATATAATTCTAACGTGTTCTTAAATGTGTTAAGAACTTTGGGATGGTATACATTCAGAAATTGGATTAGAAATCCGGAATAAAATTGGAATGTACTAATTAAATTGTTCAGCAGTTGCCAGGTGAGCCTAGTATTCCCTGGAATATTATGTAAACTCCTTTTTCTCTCTCTCTCTTTGATGCACCAGCCAGTTTCACTTTGATGTTTTCTTTTTCATAGCTCAGAAGTGCCAGGCTTTGCAAGCAATGAACAGGCACCTGGATGCAGTGCTGAAGGATAAAAGAGCTCTGAGGCAGAGGCTGGTAAAACCACTGTGTCGAGAAAGTCTGCCCATAGAAGCTGCCTTCCACAGGTATCAGACTTCCCAACTGGAGTTTACATTGTACCTATTATTCGTGAAGTCTGTGAGACAATCCAGTACAGCTTTTGGTTGATAAAAGTGGTCAGAAGCACACTTGTGTGCACAGCTGTTTTTGCTGCTTTCAACATCCATACATTCCTCGGAATTGGCCGCATGCTACTCACTACCTTTCAACCCACCCTTGCATCCTTAACATTTCTGCCAAACACTTTTCCCTGTAGATTTTGTATTCATTCCTGCTACTTTTCCCTTTGTATAGGGAATAGTAATGGCATTCTTCCAGGAGTCAGGCATGGTGGCAGTCTGCTGGCATGTGTAAAACATGCATTTTATCTTAGCTCCTGAATGAGAGGAACCCAAAGGGATTTTATTTTCAACATCAGAAGACAACTTCTGTCAACTACATTTATGTACTGGACGTAATCAGCCCGTTTCCCCTTTAGTCAAATACATAGTGTGAAAGTAAAATCTAGCACATCAAAGAGATCACTGAACTGCATTGTATCAATCTTGTACTAATTGTACTGTTTATATATTTATTTCAAGGCTCACTTTATATGGTTGGTATTAATCTTTATAGCTCGAAATGGTCTGGGAGCGCATTACATTAAGCCTATTACACCGCCTATATAAAACCTCTTCCATTTTGAGATCTGCTTTAGAGGCCCGGCCCTGTTGAAGGTGTAGTGGATGGGCTTTGGGAGAGGATTTCATCAGAAATGAGGCCACAGCTATAGAATTTGTGCGTTGAGGAAACTTGACAATCTCCTTTTTACATTTGAAGGGGTGTGCGAATACTTATTTATTCACATATTTACTTACTTATACAAGTATTTATTTGTTTCTTTTCAAAATAGTTTTAATTTAGTTATTGCCATTTAGCATTATTTTAAGGCTTTATTTTAATACCCTGATATGCTTTTTTAGAAACATTTGTTTGGAAAAATAGAAACAAAGAATAAAATTGTTATTTTCTCCTAAACTTTTATACATACTGATGTTTTTTTTGGCAAAAATGGGATATTCAGTCTTGATTCAGGTATATTTCAGGTTTGACAGAGTGTTCATTGTCTCTATATAGAAAGTTGGTATAAATTTTTAAATAGGGGAGAATTTAGAAATAAAGCCCAAAGATTCTTAAAACTTCTCAAACTACAGAATATGGAATAATGTGTCTTTGTTCCTTGTACCTTAGAGATGTGGTAGAATTGTTGGCACTGGCAGTAGCTTTTATTGAAAAATTAGAAACCCACTTACTTACAGTAAGAAGCATTCCTCAAATACCTGAAAACATTAAAAACATGGTAAGTAGCTAATATTTCCACATTTCACTAATGCTCTTTTTTTTTTTTTTTTGCTAAGAACATGCAGTTCAAGTTGAAAACCCAAGTTCAAATCTCAGGTTATCGTTGACCTTTCTGGGTAGTTCTAGACACATCTTTATTTCTTAATCTTGGAACATAGTACCAGTGTAGTACATGATAGATCTGTATCCTGAAAGAAATGCATAGCAAATGCTTTGGGGAAAATGCAAATTGCTACTTCATTTCATGCTATACTCCCTCCTGAAATGATAGTATTTATACTACTTTTCTCGTTCTAAAACAGTATATGGAATAAACTAGCATATACTAATAAAATTATATTAGCTTTGAGTTTTTTATTAGCTTTCAAGATGTTGAAATCTTACCAAATAGTACTGAAATATTTATTTTCATATTATATTCCAGAGTAGTGCATTAGCAAAGATGGACTTATTGGTAACAGAGACAGAAGAACTGGCAGAACAAATCTTGGAGTGGAGAGAGAAACAAAAAGGAATCTTTGAGAATTCACAGCTGACTGCTGGATTAGATTCTTCATTGAAAAGTATACGATAGTGCATTTATTTTTCTCTTTTCCCATTCCAAGACCGGCTAGCAATTTTGTGGGATTAATAAAATACACATGCATTTTATTCTTGCTTTCAGATTTATAACCATTTGCATCTAGGTTCTGAAATGAATATTTATATATGGAACTAGTGTTGTATGAAAACTGGTGACAGATGTTAAATAACTTCCTGAGAGTCTCTCTTAAGTGCCTGAGGAATGTTTTAATGAAAGGGTGTAATAACACTGTCTTAAATAACATCTCTTTTATGTATATATGTCATTTATATCAAGCAAATAAATTAAATTTAAAAAACTAACTTTGGGGCCATGCTTATTTGATCCGCATTTCTGTCATTAACAGTTCAAATTGTGAGTTTGAATATCATCATTTGTAAGTAAGAATGTCACTTGCTACTTTGCATCTTCCTGAGTTTCTGCTTTCTGTTCATATCATGTTGGTGATGTTCAAATGGCACAGCCCAAAAATGTGGTTATGAGTGCATATTCTGTCATTTTAGCTTGGTTGTATACAGTTCTTTAACTTAATTAAGAGCTGTATTGTTTATTATATAATTAAAATCTCCAACAGCTACTATTTGAGATTTTTAGAAACCAGGACTTATAATGTACCTGGTTTTCGGAAACCAAAAATATGGGCTGTTGGGGTTCAGATAACATGATAAGCCACAATGCTTAGTTAAAGAGCATTATGCAGCTGGATGAAAAGGTACATACAGTGGGGGGGAAAAGTATTTAGTCAGCCACCAATTGTGCAAGTTCTCCCACTTAAAAAGATGAGAGAGGCCTGTAATTTTCATCATAGGTATACCTCAACTATGAGAGACAAAATGGGGGAAAAAATCCAGAAAATCACATTGTCTGATTTTTAAAGAATTTATTTGCAAATCATGGTGGAAAATAAGTATTTGGTCAATATCAAAAGTTCATCTCAATACTTTGTTATATATCCTTTGTTGGCAATGACAGAGGTCAAACATGAAAAGTATTTAGTCAGCCACCGATTGTGCAAGTTCTCCCACTTAAAAAGATGAGAGAGGCCTGTAATTTTCATCATAGGTATACCTCAACTATGAGAGACAAAATGGGGGAAAAAATCCAGAAAATCACATTGTCTGATTTTTAAAGAATTTATTTGCAAATCATGGTGGAAAATAAGTATTTGGTCAATATCAAAAGTTCATCTCAATACTTTGTTATATATCCTTTGTTGGCAATGACAGAGGTCAAACATGAAAAGTATTTAGTCAGCCACCGATTGTGCAAGTTCTCCCACTTAAAAAGATGAGAGAGGCCTGTAATTTTCATCATAGGTATACCTCAACTATGAGAGACAAAATGGGGGAAAAAATCCAGAAAATCACATTGTCTGATTTTTAAAGAATTTATTTGCAAATCATGGTGGAAAATAAGTATTTGGTCAATATCAAAAGTTCATCTCAATACTTTGTTATATATCCTTTGTTGGCAATGACAGAGGTCAAACATGAAAAGTATTTAGTCAGCCACCGATTGTGCAAGTTCTCCCACTTAAAAAGATGAGAGAGGCCTGTAATTTTCATCATAGGTATACCTCAACTATGAGAGACAAAATGGGGGAAAAAATCCAGAAAATCACATTGTCTGATTTTTAAAGAATTTATTTGCAAATCATGGTGGAAAATAAGTATTTGGTCAATATCAAAAGTTCATCTCAATACTTTGTTATATATCCTTTGTTGGCAATGACAGAGGTCAAACATAATCAGACAATGTGATTTTCTGGATTTTTTCCCCCATTTTGTCTCTCATAGTTGAGGTATACCTATGGTGAAAATTACAGGCCTCTCTCATCTTTTTAAGTGGGAGAACTTGCACAATCGGTGGCTGACTAAATACTTTTTTGCCCCACTGTACATACTTGTACATTGCTTTTCAGCTTAGCATGTTTGCCTCTGTAAGTAGCAGCACCAGCCAGCTTTAAATGAACTCACCCTAAGCAGGGTTGGCCTGCTAAATATTTAGATGGATGACCCTGTGGGAATTCCAGGGCTTTAACTAGACTGGGAAGTCAGAAAAAAATCATTCTGGAAAAAGGCAAACCACTTGGCAGAATGCTGCAAGAAAATTCTGTGGATGCAGACGCAGAAGTCAATTTCAAGTCAAAGATGTCTACATTATTGCAAACACAATAATTATAAATTCTCATTCTGGTCAGTGCTTTGCTTAGAAAACATGTTGGTCAGGCAAGTATTTTTAAGCACAGGTACAAGATAACAACTGAGAAATTGCTCCAAGAGGCTAATTAGGCATCTACCTAAGATAAGAGTTCAAAGACTCTTGGAGAGTGGGGGCATGTTCTCAAAATGTCAAAGAAAATGGTTGTCACTGGGGGCAAATTGTCTGTTTAAAATATGGCTGCTATAATGGGTGTAGTAAATTCAAGTCTTGACTTGTGACTACATAGACAAGACAAGCACATTCTAGGCAACCTTTTAAGAAGTGGTTTTCTACTGTCATCTTCCTGGAACTAAGAGAGAGTGACTGGCTCAAAGTTACCCAGCAGGCTTCTGTGCCTAAGGCAGGACTAGAACTCACCTACTAACCCAAAGTGGCTCTCATTATCTGCTCTACTTCCCACCTTTTTTTCTGGGCAGGTCGGCCAACCTTTAAACATGTAAGCTGCAGTTACTATTTTAATTGTTCAAAAACATTGATGTCAATGGTATTCCAGGGCATTCTTGGAAATGAAGACAATTCTGGAGGCTGCTTTTCACCTTACAACCTGTGGCCATCAAGAACCCTTTGCATAGCCTGCAGAGGCCTCTCTGACTATGACTGCTAAAAACTGACAGTGTAACTCAGTGTTGTCCAAACTTGGCCACTTTAAGATGAGTGGACTTCAACTCCCAGAATT